AAGTCACGTGCCCATTAAGTGGCTGAACCACTTACTCTCACCACCTCCCCCTCACCTTCCTCCTAAGCTCTGTCCCCTTTGCCTCCTCCTCCTCCTCCGCCTCCCCCTCTTCTTCTCCCTTCATATCCTCTTTCTCCTTTCAGCTCTTGTTCTTCTCTTCTTCTTCCTCTTCCTCCTATACATTCCTTTTTCACCTTCCTCCTCCCCTCCTTCCTCCTCCTCCACGTCCACTTATGGCCCCTCCATACACTGGCGGATGACAGCCTGTTGGGTGGGAGAGAGCGAGAGTGAGTGCGTAAAACTTATCAGAGTGTGAGAGTGTTGTGTGTGTGTGTGTGTGTGTGTGTGTGTGTGTGTGTGTGTGTGTGTGTGTGTGTGTGTGTGTGTGAAAAGTGTGTACTAATTAGTAGTAGTAACGATACGATGCAGAGTCTTTAGTTAAGAGGTGAAAGAAGATTATTGGGGAGTTGAAGGAAAGAGTAATTGAAACTGAAATACAGTAGGGTAAGAAAGAATCTGAATCAACCAGATCTTCATCTTTCTTCAATGAGTGTTTTGATAAGTAACCGTGAGCCAAGACTCTTCTTATACGACACTGAGGTAGGATGCTTGGATTAAAACTAACAAAAAGAGGATATAAGCTACATCCGCCAAAGATAAAGACATTGAAACAGTAGTAGTAACACAGCTAGGATAGCTACTTATGTATTAGGATATTTAATTTTAATGTAATAAAATGGCGGCGAAGGTGTGGCTGTTGGGGAAGGCTGGAGGTCACGTTTGAAAAAATAAAATAAAAAAATAAAAAAATAAAAATTATTATTATTAGTAGTAGTTATGTTACAGCCTGGATGAGATGTCGACTGTCCTTCTCTCTCCTTCGGTCGGCTTTGCTCTGCCTCAGGGGAACGAGAGCATCGGCCCCAAAGCCGACAACAGTTGCAGATATTGACTATGAGGCTACAGTCACTGAATGCCGCATAGATCTGCGGCTCAACTAACTCAACACAGCTAGGAGAGCTACTTATGTATTAGGATATTTAATATTAAGGTAATAAAATGGCGGCGAAGGTGTGGCTATTGGAGGAGGCTGGAGGCCATTATTAAAAAAAAAAGTAGTAGTAGTAGTAGTAGTAGTAGTAGTAGTAGTCCTTCTCAACTTATACTCTGTCAACAAACACACGAAATAAACCAAGAAATAAGATTTATTTTCTTCCCACGTAAGAGAAAAACCTGATAATTCTGATAAAGTTACAGAACAATGGAAGATGCAATACAATATTTGCTGATGGGAGGGATGGAAGAGACAGACAGACAGAGAGAGAGACAGGGAGACAGACAGACAAACAGACAGACAGGGAGATGCACTATAGGTGGTGGTAGTGGTGGATCGTCGCATCATGTATTGTGTTCTCCTGTCACTTACTGTGTGTGTGTCTGAGTGTGTCTGTTTCTGACGTGTGTGTGTGTGTGTGTGTGTGTGTGTGTGTGTGTGTGTGTGTGTGTGTGTGTTAGAATCTCTCTCTCCACCTCTGGGTATCTCACCTCAATACCTGTGGCCAAACACACACACACACACACACACACACACACACATACATACACACACACACACATACACACACACACACACACACACACACACACACACACACACACACACACACACACACACACACACACACACACACACACACACACACACACACACACAAATTTCAATACTCTGTAAACATTAAACATTACAAAAATTATCTTCTATTATATTGTTTACGTTGTGTTTATGTTGTGTTTATGTTGTGTTTATGTGATGTTTATGTTATACGAACGTTGTCAAGAAACGTTTTTACGATGCGTTATGGAGATGTGACGTAACGCGTGATGTTATTTCTTGTTCATGTTAATGTGTGACGTATTGGAGCCTAAAAAACGTCATCATCCATGCGTCACTCCTCTCATTCGTCACGACCCATGCGTCACCACCCCATAGATCACACCCCCCATGCGTCACTCCCCATTGCGTCACACCTAATGTGTCACCCCATTCGTAATCCACCCCATGTATCACACCCATGCGTTACTTGCGTCACCCCACTGCGTCGTTCGTCATCCTGCATCACACCGTCATTACTCTGTCTCACCCATCACCCGTCTCTACCCCCAGGCCGTCACCCATCACCCCTCTCTACTCCCAGGCCCTCACCCATCACCCCTCTCTACTCCCAGGCCCTCACCCATCACCCCTCCCCTCTACCTCAACCTAACCTCATTAATCCCATCACTTTCACCCCTACTTCCCCCCACTCCTCTCACCCTCCTCCCTAAACCCTCTCGTTCCCCTCCTTCATCCCCCTCTCATCCTTCTAACCCCTCCCCCTCCACACCACTCACCATGATTACTATCTTACTGTCTCATTACTTCTTATGTCACGTGTGTGGGGGGGAACTATCAGGTAGTAGGTGCGGCAGAGGAGGTGTGGTAGAGCGGCAGGGTGCGGCAGGGGTGGTGGTAGGTGCGGCAGGGTGCGGCAGGGATGGTCAACTACGGGTGAGCACTGGAGTGATTCATCCATTAATGTGCGACCAATGACCCAGGACCAACCTGACGGCGATACTGAGGGAGGAGGGTACTACTACTGCTGTTACTGCTACTACTACTACTACTACTCTGCTACTACTACTACTACTACTACTACTACTACTACTACTACCATTACTATTATTACTGCAACCACACACACACACACACACACACACACGCACACCACTCAAGAAAAGTAATAGACGTCAGAGAATTTTTCCGGTATACTCGAGCCAAGAATATACCAATAATTATACCGTTATATTTGGATATAGTAGAGTATAACGAGTATATTACTTTGTGGTATAGCATTATATTATATTTTGTCGTAGTTATGGCGTCTGGTAGATAATTGTGGCATAGCTCTGTAATCGACCCCGAAATAGTGTCAATTATATCAGTGTAAGTTTTAGTAGTAGTTAAGGGTCTCATTGCCATAGATTTATTACACGTATTCGACCATGTTGTGTTTTAATCTCTTCTTCTTCTTCTTCTTCTTCCCCTCTCCTCCCACCTTTCTTCACCCTCTTTCATCCTATCTTCCTATTTTTCCTCATTCCCCTTCTTTCCCTCTCCTTTCATTTTCTTCCTCCTCTCCATTCCTATTTTCCTCTCCACTCCTTCCCCATTCAAACCCCCTCCCCCCTCTCACCCCCTCCTCCCGTTCCCCCTTTTCTCCCCTTCCTCCCTCTCTCCCCCCTCTCATCCCTTTCAGTATTTAATTGAACTTATAACACAAACAAGACTCGACCTATTCTAAACAATAAACTCTGACCTGACCTGACCTGACCTGACCTAACCTAACCTAACCTAAGCTAACCTACCCTTTTCTACTATGATCCTAAGGACAAGACTGACCTTAATACTCCTTCTCCCCTCTCCTTCTCCCCTCTCCTCTCCCCTTAACCCTCGTCTCATCACCCTCAGGAAGTGGTTGAGTAATTAATATTGATAGTTAAGGCGATGACGTCACAACTACGAAGAAGGCAGTCAGGCTTAACAGTCATCTGGGTGATTGGGTTGTTTGAGGGGAAGAGGGGGAGAGGAAGGAGTAGGGGAGGGGGCAGAGGAGATGATAGCGAGAGAACGAGGGGAAGGGGGGAGAGGAGGGGGGAGGAAAAGAAGGGAAGGGGAGAAAAGGGGAAGGGGAGGAAAGAGGAAGGAAAAAGAAGGAAGGAGGGGAATGACGAAGGAGGGAAGGAAAACGACGAGGGGAGGGACACGACAGCAAGGTGAGGGGAGGGGGGGGACATCCATAAAGGGGAAGGGGGAAACTACAACGAGGAGGAGAGAAAGGGGACGGGAGAGGGAAAGAGAGAGAGGGGGAGGTGCAGGGGAAGGATCACAAAGAGGGGAAAACGACCGCAAAAGGGAAAGGGGGAAATGAAAACGAGGGGAAGGAAAGGAGAAGGAGGAGTAGGAAGAGAGTGTAGAGAGGAGAGGGGTGGGGTAGTAGCAGTAGTGGTAGTTAGGGTGATTAGGTCGTTAAGACGCGGGCGAGTGGTTGTTATGGTACCAGCTGATTGATCTGTTTATCCGCCCCTGACTACCACAACCCCTTGTTTCCCCTCACTTCCCCTTACCCTCCCCCCTCACCCCTACCTCCAGGGAGCGATGAGAGTAAGGGAGATGAGGATTGTGAGCGATGAGGGAGAAGGGAGGGGAGGGAGAGGGGAAAGAGAGAGAGAGGCAGTAAGTCGCGAGTGAGGAAGAGGGGAGAAGAGGAGGAGGAGGAGGAATGAATATTATTAGAGAGAGAGCAAACAAAACTTACATCACTTACAATAAACAAATTAATACCTTTTAGTCTCGCCTTTTAAAAATAACAAATCCAAGGAAATATTTCAATCTTATGTGTATCTCATTGTTTTTTTTTTACATATTTTTATTGTTAATTTGTCTGTTTCGGAGGTTTAGAGGAGGGGGGGGGGTGAAAATATGCCCTGGTTAATTGCTTCTCTTCCTTGGGTTTCTGTCGGAATGTTATGACATTAGTACTAAAATTTACTTAATTTTGTCAACACCTCGAATTTTCTGTTCTTTGGTGTGTGTGTGTGTGTGTGTGTGTGTGTGTGTGTGTGTGTGTGTGTGTGTGTGTGTGTGTGTGTGTGTGTGTGTGTGTGTGTGTGTGTGTGTGTGTGTGTGTGTGTGTGTGTGTGTGTGTGTGCGTGTGTGTGTGTGTGTGTGTGTGTGTGTGTGTGTGTGTGCGGATCTACAGATGTTAAATAATTCGTGTAACTATTTCTATTTACATAAACAACTACACACACCTGTTTTATCTCTACGACACCTGTACTTACCGGTGTGTTTATGTGTCTGTCCAAAAATGCAACAACTATAACTATTTCTATATATATATAAAAACACCTGTATACACCTGTGCTATGGTTAACTAACGTGTGCGTGTGTTGGTCCACAGATGCACGGGTACGGGCTTGACCCGGAGCAGAGTATGGCGGCCCACCTGCAGCTGCCGCAGTACATGGACGAGGGCGGACCTATGGGACACCCTTACTCCCACCCGCCCTCCAACCCCTCCGCCCAGTACCCCGGCACGCCCTCAGAGCTCTCTTCCACCTCCAGCGACTAGTGGAGGGCCGGAGGTCTCCTCCACCTCCTGCACATGATGGAGAGAAGACCTACCCTCACCCCTGAATTACCCTGACCCCCTCCCGCTTACCTCCCATTAACCCAACCCTGACCCCCGCCCCCCATCTTCCCCGGACCCCTTGACCCCGGTGAGATAGTTGGAGACCTAAAAGGCTCTCTGTGATTTTTTTTTTAGGAGCGACGAAGGAGTTCAGAGAGAGAGTTTTCAAGAGACAAGGACATCCAAGCCAGCCCTGAACAACAACATCCCGGTGAGAGACTCCTGCGAGGGCCTCCAAGAGTCTACAGGGAAGGCGAGAGGAGGGGGAGATCAAAGACAGAGACCTTAATGAGACTCTCTGAAGCAGTATGTGCAGGCTGCCCCTGCCTTGACCTGACCCGTCAAGAGAGACTTGGAAACCCAGAGAAAGATCGTCTAGACTTGATAGGGAACGGCGAGGGAGATCAGTGAGAGAGACAGAGACAGAGGGAGATTTTGGAAGCAATATCATACAACCCAACTGTTATGGGCGAGGGAGAGGTTGATAGTCGACCTCATAAGATGGCGAGTGAGATATAATATACCTGGAACTAATGACAAAATCGACCTGCAGGGGAGGTAGTCGTCCTGAATAAACAAACAAACCCCTGTCTACCTGGACGTGGGGTGGGGTAGTGGTGGTGGTCGCCCTGAGTAAACAAACACCTTGTCTACATACCTGTCTACCTGGAGGACCTCTGTAGTGAAGAAAGTAATAGTTACACAAAAACTGATTCACGTTCATCTACTTATAAGAAAAATAATCAAACTTATCTTTTCCTGAAGTATTATAAGTAAATACTGAAGTGAACAGTAAATATCACTTTTACTTAAATGTTACCGGAGTGTAAAATTTGGAGGCTATGCAAATCATCAGAGGTCACAATAACACACAGACTGACACACGTAACTATATGTGAATGGTGGAGTGAATAGTTTGTTTCATTTATATTAAAGCAGTGAGCTGACCAGAGCGCCACGAAAATATTGTCGGCGCTAAAAAGTTGATTTCTTAATCTGATTTAATTTCATAGACGATAACTGTAAGCTGACTACCTGGTGCAGATCCTTTTATGAAATGTTGGATGCGGATGAACAAATGCCGGAGCTTTTGAACAAATATTGAAGCGTTTAAAATAAATACTGTAGCGTTTAAATAATTCCCGGAGAGTTGGAACAAATATTGAAGCATTTAAAATAAATACATGAAAACGCTTGAACAAATACTGGAACGCTTGAACAAATACTGGAACGCTTGAACAAATACTGGAACGCTTGAACAAATGCTGGAGAGTTTAAACACATTTTATTGTAGAAGAACTTTAAAATACCTTAAAGAAACTTGAATAAATTTGAAAAGACTTGAATTTGAAAGAAACTTGAAGAAATTGAATGAAAACACGAGAAAAAAAATTAAAAGGAACTTGAAAAAAAAACCTGACGACAACAACAAAATTTTAAGACTCAACCGGAAGAAAAATCATTCAACTACGACTTCACCCAACCGCTAGCATCACCATTACGACCAGTTCTACTAGCAATACCAATACGACCACTATCCACTACTAGCACCACCACTACGAATATTACCACCACCACCACCAGTTCCATCTACTACCATCACCAGTCTACTACCATCTGCCACTACCATAAGCAACTCTACCACGACCACCAACCACCATTACTACTACTACCTACCACAACCACCATTACTACCACCTGGACGACGACTTTCTCTAACACCTCCACCATCTCAATGACGACCCCCCCCCCTCGCCACTACCACTACTTACTTCGGCGACAACCACCACTACCACCATTTCAGCAACTACCAAACGACTACCTGCCAATCAAAACACACTGCAGCAAGATCCTTCGTCAAAGTGTAAAATATTGAAGTGATCCCCCCTCCCCTCTCTCCCTCCATCTCACCGTCGCCTCTGTTGTCGTTCCCTGACACTAGAAAAAAAATATATGTGGCGGTCTTTCATGTGATCTTAAAAAATAGCAAAAACCTTACAAACAAATGACAGTCGCATCAAAATGTTAGTTACTTACAAACGTTGTTATAGAAAGCAATGTGGTGAGTGAGGGAACCCTGGAGCTGTCCTCTCGTGCGGCGGACTGTGGATCTCTTACATGTGTCATACAAACTTTACTCATGTAGACGCTGTGTGTGTTTTTATTATATCAGCGGAACTTTATTATGATGTGGGTTTAAACCATTTCTAGCAGGATTTGTCAACAAGTTATTGCAAGGTTCAAGGTTCTAATGCACAGTTTTCTCTTCACTTGTCTGAGAGGTTCACAGCTGCTGGCGTGTCACAAACAGTTCTGCTGACAGTTTTCTTCTCTTATATTCCTTCAGTGAAGGACGTCATATGTTTTGGACACCCAAAATTAGTATGTACTGATAAGTGATAAACCTCGCTTATACTGAACACAGGGGCAAGTTAGGTAATTACTCTCGTGTGTTATATGAGCAGCTCAAACAGTCACCTGTTAATTAGTCTATCTATCGGCCACTACCTGTACACTTCAGCAGTATTCCCTCCAAGGTGCGACTGTCTCCTGCCAGAATGTTCAAATCTCTCTCTCTCTCTCTCTCTCTCTCTCTCTCTCTCTCTCTCTCTCTCTCTCTCTTCTACCAAACATTATCATCTCTCAAAGAAGATGATGGTCTTGTGGACTAAAGCCTCAGGTTCTGATTCATAGCCACAAGGGTTCGAATCCCATCTCTAAATTGGCTCTCCCTTGGCGTCACAACTTTCCTTCTTTATTCCTTAGAATTTTTCCTAGGACTGTATTTCCTAAGACTTTTTCCCTGAGACTTTAATTCAAAAAATTTATTCCTGGGTCTTTATTTCCTAAGACTTTTTCCCTGAGACTTTAATCCAAAAACTTTATTTCCTGGGACTGTATTTCCTAAGACTTTTTCCCTGAGACTTTAATTAAAAAAATTTATTCCTGGGTCTTTATTTCCTAAGACTTTTTCCCTGAGACTTTAATCCAAAAACTTTATTTCCTGGGACTTTATTTCCTAATATTCCCGGGGCTATAATCTACATCTTTATATTAGAAAGTAAAGAAAGTTTTTAATATACAACTTTCCTCTCCCCGGTGTTCAGAATAAATAAGGTTACCTGGCTGCCACGTGATGTTCAACCAACCACAATCAACTTAAATTAAGGTGTTTGTTCCTAAAGATATGACTGTAAGCAATACACACTGTATGTTTTGTATCCTGTGTGTGTGTGTGTGTGTGTGTGTGTGTGTGTGTGTGTGTATGTGTGTGTGTGTGTGTGTTCGTTTGTAAGTGTCTTTGCGTGATCGGTGTTGGGCCGATGTGTGTATTTGTTTGTATATGTGTGTGTGTGTTTTTTGTGTCTGTGTGTACATGTGTGTGTGTATATGTATGTATGTGGATATTATGTATTTTGTATACATATGTTTTGGGGGCTTTTTTCCGCTTATGAAATTCAAGAAAGAACTGTGTGTATTTTTTTCTTTCTTTCTTTCAACTCATTCATTAAAAGCCATTTAAAAAATATATATTAACATGCAAACAACCCATATGCCGTTTTCTTTATATCTTTTTAATTAAGTAAGTGAACCATCCTACTATAATCAGATTATAGAGACGGGTTATATCGGTACAGATTCTCTTGCACAATTATAATAAATTTAATCTAACAAGAAAAAATAATAATTACTCGGGTCTCAAGTTATAATGGCGGCCATTTTGATTTTTTTTTTATTACGGGTATCGTTTCAAGTCATTCATTGTATTTTTCTATTCATCACATTCATCCGATTATCGAAGTTATTAGTGTATAATGATATACGAATCAATTATAGTTAATGGATAATAACAATACATCTTCTTTCTTACCTAAATAATTATCAAATACTATAATTACGTGTCGATTATATAAAAAAAATCATATAATTCACTTAAAAAATGGTAATATTTTTCTCTTAAAGGATAAATTCAAATTGAGGTTTATTCCAAAGTTCCCAAATCTGGTTAGGAATCCAAAACACGAATCTGAATCTAAAACTCACTATTTCGAACTAGATTTGTTCATAAGTTCAAATCAGAGTCGAATAATTATCGTCTTAAAATCGAGTTATTCAAATCAATTTAGACAAGAATCGAATAATTTATGTCATTGTAAATCTTTAATCGAATCATTCCATTTATTATCAACTTAGGATCCATCAGTCATTGTTAGTTCAGAAACATTTTAGTCATCATCAAAGTAGAATGGATTACCTTTAGTCATTAATTCAATCAAGAATCGAATTATATCACTCATCATCAATCAAGAATCATAACATCTCAATCATTATCAAATTAGAATCGAATCATTTCAGTCATCATCAATCAAGAATCGAGTCATCTCAATCAACATCAATCACGAATCGAGTCATCTCAGTCAGTCACTAATTAATCAAGAATCGAATCATTTCAGTCATCATCAGCCATAGAATCGAACCCTTCCTCAAACGATACTTGATAAATGAAATCTCGAATCCTGGAACGTAATTTAGAAGTTTCCAATCCCGCAAGAGACACTCCTACTGATTCACTGCTTTGTTCGTGGCCGCTCACTCACAATAATAATAATAATGACCAGCTGAGCTCTGAAACACTCCGGTGGTTCGTTCACTGGATCGACTCTCGCGTTTCGAATTTCGATTCAGAGTTGCCAACCGAGGTGTTAGCTTGCGAGACGTACAGTGTTCGAAAAGTATAACGAACTGAACCTGACCGAATCATCTACATTTCGAGCGACCCAAACCCAACCAAAATTACTTAGATGTACCCATGCAGACACAAACAGACCTACCCTAACTATCCGAGGTTAGTTTTGGGTTAAGTTAGGTTAGGTTCGTGACGTCTAAGGTCGTAAAATATTTAGAAGCTCCGAACTAACCGAATTTAACCAACCAAACCAGACCTAACCTGAAGTCTCAAAGGTAAATATTGGTTAAGTTAAGTTTGTTTACATTTGTGTCGTCTGGAGAAAAAAATAAACATTACGGTACTCTAGCAGGTCCTGTTCGTGGTACTTGTGTCTAGTAGGGTCCTGTTCGTGTTATTTTTCCAACAATATACATTTTGCTTTATGCTTCACCCAACCCCTTCCAACCCTCACACTACACACATGCTATAATTATTTTTTGGCTATTTTATTATTATTATTATTATTATTATTATTATTATTATTATTATTATTATTATTATTATTATTCGTTTATTTTACCCATACGATTATGAATTTATCCTTTTGCCAATATTTTTTTCTTCCTTAATGTCTTATGCTGTGGGAATGTCCCTCTGAAATAAATAAAAAATACAGAATTCTCTATGGCAATATATTGATGTATCAAAATAAAAACAAAAAATAAAAAATGTAAATTTATAGATTTTTTTGACGTGATATTAATATACATACACTAAAAAAAACTACATAAAAATCTTGTTTATACTGTTCTTTGGTCTTGTAAAATAGTTGACCAAATTAAATAAATTATAAATATTACACTGTTTTATCTGTCTGTTTGTCTGTCTGCCTGTCTGTCTGTCTGTCTTTTTTTGTATATTTACATTATTATTTTTTGAAAAGCAACACTTTCTTGAAATCAGACTTGTCATCTATATATTAGGAGTTAATACAGATATGTCCAAGACTTATATTTCTCTACTACTAGTACTACAACTACTACTACGACTGGCATCTTCTACCACTACTACTGTCAACTACAACTACAACTACTACTTCAACTACAACTACTACTTCAACTACAACTACTACTACTATTTAGGAATCTGAGTTGTAATTTTTTTTTTTTTAGGTTTTACGATGACAATTGTACATACAAATTTGGACAGAAAGAATTAATTACTTTACTGTCCATAAGACGGCAGAGAGGCGCTAACTGAACATGAATGCTACATAAAGTTGTACTTATTTTTACACCTGTGATTTCATTAACCTAATGAAAGTGGAAAGTGTCTCACCTGTGGAGGGGGGGAGGGAGGGAGGGGAGGGAGGAGGGAAGTGATGTGGATGAAATTAAACTGGAAGTATTTCAACCAGTCAGATTCCCACCAGTTAGATTCCGCACTAGCCATGATTCCCACCAGTCACAATTCTCACCAGTCAGTATTCCCACCAGTCAGAATTCCCACCAGTCAGAATTCCCACCAGTCAGAATTCCCACTAGCCATGATTCCCACCAGTCAGAATTCCCACCAGTTAGAATTCTCACCAGTCAAAATTCCCACCAGTCAAAATTCCCACCATTCATAATTACCACCAATCAGAATTCCCACCAATCAGAATTCCCACCAATCAGAATTCCCACCAGACAAAATTCCCACCAGACAAAATTCCCATCAGACAAAATTCCCATCAGACAAAATTCTAACCAGTGAACAAAAAAACCATTGGTAAAATATACATTAAAACCCACAGCAGACATTTAATTGAAAAAAATACAATGTATCTAAAGTATTAATTAAATATTCTCAATACTAATAAAAACAAAATCCCACAAAATTGATAAATAACAAAATAAAAAACAAAACCATTGAATTAAAACGAGATGAAATATATGAAACAAAAAAATTAAACCCAAAGAAAAACCAAGAAGGTAAAATAAAACAAAAAAAATAAATAGAA